CTGTCACATGCTGCAGCTACCTCGTGCCCCTACCCCGCACGCCTACCCACCTCCCGACACCCCTGGCCCTTGCCCAGCTGTCAGAAGCGTGGCGAACACTCCTGGCCCCATTCGGCTCACAAAATTAATGATAAATTTATTATAATTAAAATGCCAGCTCCACGTTTTGCTTGCTGGCGAATGTAATTCGCATTAATTACAGCGAGTGCAGCAGGCTCGACCTTTGGCCAGGGCTTATGGCTGACATTAATACAGCATTCGATTCATGTTCGTGTCGTGTCGAAACAAGCCTGACACGAATGTGCAACTAGCGCAAAAGTTTACATTTTACATTCGCTCCTGCAGCAGGCAATTCAGGTTACTATATATAAATATTTACCGATATAGGTATATATATATAGGTATTTATATTCAGTTTATACACATATAAGTAACAGGTAAAGAGTCGCTTTAAGCCTGATGGATGAAGGATTTGTTTCTACCCAAAACTCTAGAGTTAAATTTGAAACTTGTTGAATATGGTTTCAATATGCTCAATCAAATGAACCAATTATATAAGTAGAGATATACTATATATATATATATGTATACATATTTCTATACACTCAACTTACCCAAACACCGTCTGCTCTCCATCGTCATCTTCATCTTCATCTTCATCTTCTTCTTCCTGTAGCTTTAAAGCCTTCTGCATTCAGTTTTCAACAGTTCTCAACTGTCTCGATGAGCACTTAACCCTCAACTTAGCCCATTGTCATATATGTATGTATGTATGTGCGTTGGTTCATTTACTACCCCACCTTTGGGGCCGCCATTTGCGCCCTCCTTATCCAAGCTGGATCAATATGGTTGGCACCTGCCGCGCATCGTGGGGCTTAAAAAGAAATCGCGTCTGTCAAATGACCCAAACAAATTGCAAAACTTTGCCAGCCATCAGCTTTGAATGCCATTAAGTGCTCTGCTCTATAGTGTAGTGTAGTGTAATGTACTCTAATGCAACCACGCCCCCCCAACCGACGCCCTCACTGGCCCACACTGACGCCTGACGGCTCCACTATGTGATAGCAATGCGCTTGTCCACTCTGTAAGTGGCACTTGATATAGTAAAATGTATTGACGTTGACATAATGGCAAAATCAAACACACACACACAGACACATACTCACATATACACACATACGCACCGAGTGAAACACCTACAGAGTTGAGTGAGTGCCACAATAATAACAAATAAACTCGAAAGCGAAACGTTGCTCTTGGCGCTGAAAGCGTGCTCACTGAGAGCACAGTTCGTGACACGAATTGCACGAAGGTGAAAGCTTCAAATTGTCTACTTGTATATAGGATAAGCATTCAGCAAGATGAAGTCTTCAATAACCTTCTTCTATTGATCATCAATATTAAACAATTAATATTTTCCAAACATCGTTAAAAGATCTTGTGATCTGAAACTGAAATCAAATTTTTTTGACCAGGATTTGTTTTAAATTATATTAGATCGTTCAGATCGACTATCAAATATAGGAAGATGTTGGAATTCGGACTGATTCTGATGCATCTCTATTAAACATTACAGACTCCATTTACTTTTATTTTCTCTATTCAGTCACGCTTCTCTCTTCAGATGTATGTATGTCGTCTGAAAACCCATGTATTTCACAACACTAGAAGATTGTTATTGGTTCATCCTCGTGAGCTTCGGCATTATTTCACTCTTTTTTCTTTGCACTATGTCGATTTGTCGATTTTGCCAGCATAAAGTCTAAAAATAAAGCTAGAAGCCTAATTTTGTTTTTTATTGTACTAATATTTTTCTTGAATTTCGGATTTTTTTTTTTTTCTCTTAAATTGTACCACGCCTTTTTTTCGCCCCTCTATTAAGTATACGTAAATTTCAGTTTTTTTTTTTTTTTTTTTTTTGAAATGTCTTCATATATAGGGAGAAAAAAGTCTTTGCAAAAACTTTTCTGGGCTGATAGAGAACTCACACTATATAGCTATTAATATATAGTAAAGGTTATTCGGCTGCGGTAGTTGTTCCAAATATCAAGAAGCGTGTAGTTAGTGAACGCAGAGGAAACTTTAAGTGCTTTTTTTTTTTTTTTTTTTTTTTCAAAAGAATCAAAAAACGAGCAAAAAGGCTATTTAATGCCATATTGCTTAGTAACTTGTCATTATTAGTTGCATGTTTTGATATGCACTTTTTAAGAAATACTCCACGGAGCACAATTAAAATTGTTAGATTTTTTGCTAAAAATACAGTCAGCAATAACACTAGACAATAAAAATCACACAAACATTTATACATATATAATGTTAGCTACAGACTACAAATATGTAGCTTGAGCTTTGTTTTCCTTTTTGGATTTTTTTATTTTAAATGAAAACAATAATAATTTGAGCACTTGCAACAGCAGAAAATTTTTCGTGCCAATTTTTATACCTAAAACCTTCAACAGATCAGCTGACTTTAAGGCATTCCCACAAAAAAGGAATTAACCCCCGGTACAAACAAAAATTGGTTTCCATCTAATTGGAGGGTTAACAACTAAGGAATAAACAAATTTTCTTAATATTTCACCATACATTTTTGGACTTTATCTATCACCTATCACGGTAAATCGCCCATAGAGCATTGCATAATGCTTCTTCAGAGTAATATAAACGAACAGTTAGGATGCAGTCTAAAAAATACAAATCTGTTCCCAAAATCTTGCCGATCGTGTTCGTGCCCCAATGGCAATTCTATGTATGTAGATAGGCACGAGCTCATCTCTAGCTTCGCTATAGACACCGTGATTCAGGACACGTTTTGGACGTAGACAAACTAAGAGGCAGAAGGTGATGGGTCGCTGGGCCAAGTGGGACATTGGCGGCAACCACTGTTGACATTACAAAGTAGCAAAAGCAGTTGTTGTTGTTGTTATTGCTGATGTAAATCAGTGAGTGTGAGTGTGTGTGTGTGTGTGCTGTGCATAAATATGCATTTGCCCATTTACCAACTTCCAGCGATTGCATGTGCATATTTATATACTCACACTCATACTCACACACCCACACCCATACACACGTACACACACACACACACACATACACCCATTCATTGGCCGGCCACGTGAATTGTAAATCTGGAAATTTAAATGTATCTGGATATGGGTTAGTGTGTTGCTTTTATACCCGCCTTGCATGCATGTCACCACACACAAGGCACCTACGAGGCCCATACAGACACACAGACACCCACTCGGTCAGCCCCATCAAAATATAGAGTTGGTAAAATATATATATATATATATATAGTAGATATTCAACGTCAACCTTTTTACAACTGTCGCATGTCGAAATAATGCAATTTATAGCTCTCGATATGGCAGCACATTTCATTGCAAGCCAGTTCATTTGAACGAGTTCACCAGGTATGCGGTAGTTCCAATTGGATTATTTGCAAACGACTCGAATATACTGGAAATATGATTAAATTCAATTAAAGAACTAGTTCAAAATTTCACTAGTTCCCTATTAACATTTACCCACTTTATGAACCACTTTAGACCACAAAATGTAAACATAGATAAAATACATAGCAAATCAAGTTATTCAAGTGAAAGTATCAATTTGTACTTTAAATATGTTGCCCTCATTAAAATTAACTAGTTCCGTTCGTGTAAAACAGTTTCAGGAACAGGCATTCATGCGAGTCTTTAGTAAATTAGATCGAGTTTATATAGTCATATCTAGATCTATTTAGTTGTAGCAATTCAAATGTGTAGAACTATTTGCTAGTTCCGAACAACATCAGCTCAGCAATATGTGTGTGCATTCGTTTGCCATAACAATTACTGGCAATAACAGTAACAGCAACTAGAAGGTCTCCTTTCAGAAAAGGCAAACAAGAAGTCAGGCAATGGCATTTTGGAAGCCATGCGATGCCAGCGAGTGGTTTTCTCGCTTGTTCCACATGTTCCATGCAGACCGTGCCGTGTTACATGTTACCTCTAGCAGCAGCAATAGCAACAGCAACGACAACGACAACGACAACGACAACAACAATGGCAATAACAACAACAGCCAATGGCAACCGCCATTAGTTGAGCTGGCTCGGTGACGGGCAACACTTTTAAATGGCTTTTAATTTTGAATGACAACATTTGAAATGTTCGAATTACGCGCAAATATTTTGATAGATACGCGATGCTTGACTAACCAGACAATCTGACTGAGTGACAAAGCTGAAAGACTCGAGCCTTCAACTGAATGTCAACAGTCATTGCTTGCGACAGCTATCTAAAATCGTAGATAGCGAGATAAATGCGATACGTAGAGGGTCGAATCAGAGAAGAGAAGTAGCTAAAATGTGCTGAATGGTTAAATTGTTGGCTGACAGATATTTTCAAAGCCGTTTATCTGTTATATAAATACATCGATAATTATCGATATCTTTCGTGACAGACTCACAGAACAGTCATTTAGACTGAGGGACCAACTGAAAGTACCTTGCGTCCAGCTGAATGCAAAATTTAACGAGGATACTCGAAAACTATCGAAACTATATACAACTATAATAGAATTAGCCTACAGAGGAGTATAAAAGTTTTACTAAAAACTTTTTATGTTAATTATAATATATTAGTCGATCGATATTTATCGATTAATTGAATTAATTGACTTATATTATTCGTTAACGATTAATGATATCATATATACTTTAGTTATTGTATAAAATGTAAATTAATTTTGAGAGACTCTAGAGAATTACGATAGAGTGACATGTAAATGGAAAGAGAATAAAGGAAACTTTAATCTTACCTAACCAAAAAGCTAGTCGGAAAATGTGTAAATAGTAAGTTCGAAGTGCTGAGATCTAAGCATGCATCTAGGTTTCAAATTCTACTATTTCTTATCTGATTAAATAGCTAAATAAAACTTACATTATATAAAAATATTCTTCCATTTGCCCAACTCTATCTTTCTCTCTTTCTTTCATTCTCTTTTCCTCACAGCGGACAGCTCGTTTCTATTGGCCAACGCACAAATCGTCGATTTTCCGATCGTCTACTGCAATGAGTCCTTCTGCAAGATTAGCGGCTACAACCGAGCCGAGGTCATGCAGAAGTCGTGCAGGTATGTGTACGTATTGCCGATTTATTCTCACTCGCTCTGTTGCGCTCTCTTTCTAGATATAACTATGAATATACATAATTGTACTTAGCTTAAGTATTGTACTCTGTGCTCTCTTCTCTCGCGCTCAGCAGTTGCCCAATCGCGCGCTCTGTCTATCTCTACATATATGTATATCTCTCTCACATTCACAGCAAATCAGAGTTTTGTACTCTTACCTACTATATATCAATTGTAATCCATTACGCGTTAAGTCTTCTATTCATGTTGTCTATACGTATTTGGTATTTAAATACATACATTTACATTTGTTAACTGCTTGCCTAGTCTTAAGCTCTGCATCTTTTCGTTCATCCAAAATATTCATATTCCCAGTGACTTTCATACGATATCTTATGTGCATTGTGAATATTTTGAGTAGACTTGTTTTACTTTACTCTATGTAATCTCTAGTTGCACTTAATCTAAGACTTCTCCTATTTTTACGTAACCCACTTCTTTGATCACATATGTGACTCATTGTATTATCGCAGCACCAATTTTCCGTTTTCCGTATTCGATTTTTTTTTCCCGAAAACATTTCCCAAAGAGTTGGAGCTAAGGAAGCATACTCTTAAAATACTTTGCAGCACTTGCAGTCATGTTACTCAAACCGTAAGCACACTTCAGACCATTTTCTAGCTGACATGTAAGCGGATTGAGAGCGATAAGCCGTGACAACGCACTACGACAGCCAAAAGGAATTCCAGTCAGAAGTTACTGGACAGCTAGGCTCACCGCCACAACTCGTAGCCCCTGAGTCCATTTATCAAGGCATTAAGCAGGCATTAAAGCCAAACCTCCGCAGTTCCGGCTATGCAGCATGCGTGAAACTAAGGAGAAGAACAAGAAGAAGAAGAACAGTATGAAGACAACAATGCGGTCAGGTCAGCTTTAATGTGCTCTTTGCAAACTGTTGTGTAATGGTCACTAATTGTTCGCCTAGGTCGCCGCGAAAAGGCAGGAAACAGAAAGTCGCAGCGGCGAAAGTGAAATTCGATTTTCCTGGTTTCTTTGTCAAATGCGAAATTGTGGCGAAATCGAATTTGTATTGTTCGCAGCGAACTTGAAATGTTTCCCATAGGTTCTATACCTCCCATATGCATATCAGCTGACAAATGGCCCACGAGCTCAACTCACATTTGTTGTTATTTACCTCTGTTGTTGTGAAACATATGTTTCCATATCAGCTGGCAAATTAGGTTGAAATATGAATGAGATTGTGTGTGTATGTATGTGTGTGTGATTTTTTTTCTGACTGTTGCATGGACTCAAGTGGCCGTCAAACTGTAGCAGTGGGCGCACTCGGCGATTCTCCAGCGAATTGTTTATAATTTGTGGGCAAACATTTTCACAGTAGTTGGCGAAACAAGAAAAAAATAAAAAATAAAAAAATAAAGGAAATGAAAAGAGAAAGAACGTATGCGGTGCCAGGTCAGCCTTAAGTCCCTAGCGAGTCCCTAGTTGACTACTTTTTTTATGCCTTCCTTCCGTTTGTTTTTCCATTCTTTTTTTTTTTTTTTTTTGTTTTTTTTTTTGTTTTTTTTGGAAAGACCAAATTTTCGTAATGCCAATCTTGCATTTAGTTGACTACGCTGTCGCCCTCTCTCTCTCTCTCTCTCTCTCTCTCTCTCTCTCTCTCTCTCTATCTATCTCCCTCTCTCACTCACTCTTTGTCGCTGTGTGTGTGTTATTTATTGTTGCGCTTTGACCTACTTTGTTACTGTATGTGTGTGTGTGTGACCGCGTGGAAAAAGAAAACACCGCAAAAGGTTGACCAAAAAAAGAAAATCTTTTTTTTTCACTCGTCGCTGTCTCTCGCCCTCTCCCGCCCTGTCTCACTCTCTCACTCGCCTTTTGTTTGTTTGCGTATTGCTATTGCCGCTGTTTCTGTTTGCCTAACTGCGCGCACTTTCTTTCAATTTGCCAGCTTGTGGAGCCCTTTAACTCCAATGGCCTCCCCCAAAGGCTCCTCTGTTAGTTTTCTTCTCTTCTGTTTTTCGAGTCTATTGAGCGAGGGCTGCCTCTAGACTGCCTTTGTGCTTTGCCTGACTTGTAACCCAATTTTGTGCCTAAGCAGCACACACACACACTAACACATTGAAGTACTTACATAGATATACCATGCAGCAAAGCAGTTCATTGCACAAAATGGCCGGCCAAACGGAAATGAGTCGTTTTGCGTTTTTACTCGTGACGTCGCTGGGCGTCTTAACAGCGCCGACGCCAACTTCGCAGTCGCAGTCGCAGTCGCAGTCGCAGTTTATTGAACCTTAGTCATGGCATAAATAAACACATACACACACACACACACACACACACATACACATACATGTGCATGCACATAAATATCATTCGTCTAACTGCAATAGCAGCAATCGAAAAAAAAAGCCCAAAAACAACAACATAAACGAAAGCAATAACAACAACAACAACAGAGACAAAGAGTGGAATAGCGAGAGCGACAGCGACAGCGTTAGCCTCGCCAAACACAAATTAACAGTTTTTATTGTGTCTCCTTTTGCACATTCACATTCGGATTCGCCTTCACCCATTGCCGACTGCTGACGTCATTGCAATTTACCCCGAGTCTCTCTCTCACACTAAGCTGCACTTACTAGTTCGCGTGCTCGGTCGCTCTTCCATGTAGTCCGTTCGCTCGTCCCACCCAATCGTTCACTCGCTCGCTCGCTAAGCGCTTGCCCATTTTTACATATTTTCGCGCGCGCCCTAAAAGCATGCAACACTTTTTTCGCCATTTTTTTTTCCTTTTTTTTCTATTTCTTGTTGTTTTTACTTAGTTTAGCACGTGCGCTGCCTTGGCAACGCTTTTCTATTTTTCATATCACTTTATATTTCGCGTTCCTCTTCCACTTCGTTTTTCAAGTCATTCCTCAGCATTTTTGCTTATGCATGTGATAGCATCTGCAGGAGCAGCAGCAGCTGCAGCAGCAACAGCAGCAACAGCAGCAACAGCAGCAGCAGCAGCAAAGAGCTGCCAGCTAGAAGATTCGCCACACGATATGCTAATTTCCATCATCACTCGTGCTTGCCGGCCATTTGGTGTCAACGTGGCCAAAATTAATGGCCACCGCCGAGCCTAGCGGCAAGCCAATTTAGCATATTACCTGACCCGACACCGGAGACGCAGCACTCAGTATATCTGTTCCGCGAACGAAATACCATAGGCTCTCCAGCTCTCCTTATGTAAACTCAATTATTAGATTAGACCGAAGGTTTTCCAGGAATTTCATTTATTAACTCGTGTCGGCCCTTAACACATCACAGCATGGCAAGGTGCAAAATAACCAAAGAAAACGCGAAGAATTTCTGAGAATTTATTCCTTTGCAAATCAAATCAAGTCGTGCCCCAGAGACTCCCCAGAATCAAACGATTTCAATGTAATTCAGTCTAAGGTTTTCAATCTATCAATTTATAGGTATTTTGTAGCTCGATTTCAAGCCATACCTGATATTTAATATACATATATGTTAAGATATATATGATCAAAATATTTATGGCGATGCCAATATACCAACATCATATATCAAAATAAAGCAAGTAAAATAGCTCTAGTCAGACCCTGAAAAGAATTAAGCTGAAAAGGGTTTTCCCATTAGATTCCCACTTCTTTACGTTCGTAAAAAATAAGTTCTCAGAAATTATAATTTTACTTTGAAAACAAAAGTAAAAGCTATCAATTTTTCGAAAATAATCTTGATATATGCTGGACAAAGTAAAATTTCTTATAGATGATGAGAACGATGCGTTAATCACCGACAGACAGATTAACAAGGCTAAATTAAGTTAGATTCCGACTATAAAATTGAGAGTGTTCCCCGTTAAACTTAACGAAGGCAAAACAGCAATCAATATCAATGTCAACATCTACTTAGCTGCACTAACCAACATGAAAAGGTATTATTTACTGATTTAAAGTTAGAAAATATTACCAACGCTCGTAATAAGTATATCGAGCGATGTATTTATATATGTATGTAAAGCAAGTCCAAGTGTTAGTCCGCATTCAGGTAAGACATCTGCTGCTGGCTCTGCCATCTTTTCATCCACCTGCATGGCATGCCCTAATTATATTAATTATAATTAATTTATACTTATGTCTGTGTCTTTGTGTGTATGCGTGTGCGCTGCCGCCGGCAGCTGAAAACTAATCAAGAATAATACCTCGTATATGTGCGATATTCTGCTCTTGTATATTCAACCAACGCCCGCTTCCTCCCCATCAAATTGAAACACACAGATGCGGCTTCATGTACGGCGAGCTGACAGACAAGGAGACGGTGGGACGGCTGGAGTATACGCTGGAGAATCAGCAGCAGGATCAATTCGAGATATTGCTCTACAAGAAGAACAGTGAGTACATATATAAAGATGCATACGATATAAGACTAGACCAAGAGATCCAATGCACTTAGAGAAAAATATTGCACAAACTATGATTTGAGCTCGAATTGAATTTCATTAAGATAAGACTTGGTTAAGAATATACCTCTCGAATGATATCTTTGTAGTTTCTCTGGGTGCCGCTTACTCCCAACCTGTAGCTGCAGCCTCAACAAATACATTTATATACAATGTATATATATGTACATTAATTTATATTTTTGTATACTAAGCAAAATGTAAGCTTGACTAAGTTTAATTAGGGTAGGGTATCATGGTGTAAACAATCCACCCTACTCAAGCAGGAGTTAGGGCTAGATTAGGATTTATGCTTCGTCCCTTTCCACATAATAAATTGTTGTGTGTTTGTTGTTGCTACCTCTCTACATTCCCTCCTCTCCTTATATATATATATATATATATATATATATATATATATATATATATATATATATGTATATATATATATATCTCATTCCACTTAACTTAATCCAACTCAGACCCCAAACACTCCCTTTACTCGCTACTCGCCACTCGCCACTCGCTACTTTAGATTCGTTACCTGCCATGCCATTTGTTCCCAGTCTCCTTTGCTGGCAGCTGTTGCTTTTTAATACAAACAAATTGAGGTGGCATAGCAATTTTTGAGTAGCGCCCATCAATCAAGCCCCAACCACCCCTCCTCGTGCCGTACACACAGAAGATCCCATTCCCTACGGCTGGTGTTTGTGTATCTGTAAGCTAGTTAAAACTCGCTCGATTTTCACTATATGAACGCAATGATAATTAACGCCTTCGAGTATCAATTTACAGATATACAATGTGGCTGCGCCCTATCGCAGTTTGGCAAGGCACAAACCCAAGGTACATGCAACAAGCAATCGTTTATCGTATATCGATGGCGTTCTCGATAGATGACATTATGCTATAGCCTGCAGCTGGCGCATCTCTGCTGTCCGTCTGCCTTCGCACCAGAATTAGCAAAGGACATCCTCATCAAATATGCATAAATCAATTGCAATATTGTGTGCTTGTGTGCGTGCCTGCAAATGTGCGTGTGTGAGTGTATGTGAGCAGAGCAATCGATTCTCATGCATTATGCATGGGGCAAATCAAATGGGTCTCAAGCTACGATTAACTAATCTGAGCTAGCTAATCAAATTGATTTCCACTGAGTCCCAAAAGATCGATTGGGTATGAACTACCAAAACCAAAGACAGATTTATTGAGATCCGAGCAAGCTATGAAATTTCAGTTTGTGATTAGACTTATTTATCGAAAAATTCAAAATGTATTATTTCAAATAGATTTTAAAACCTAAATCAACGGAGAGTACGTAATCCCGTAATCATAATAATACATTGACAGCGTAACACTCGTAATTTCGTAATAATCGTTCCAATGCAATCGTTGGCTACGTAATAATCCTACCGTTATCTACACAGCAATACATTGGCTACGTAATTATCATAGCAATACGTTATCTATACAGTAATAGGTTGGCTACGTTATAATCATAACAATACGTTATTTATACATCAACTGGTTGGCTACGTAATAATTATAGCAATACGTTATCTATACAGCAATACATTGGCTACGTAATAATCAAAGCAATACGTTATAATCAAAGCAATACGTTATCTACACAGCTATACGTCGGTTACGTAATATCAAAGCAATACGTTATCTATACAGCAATACGTTGGCTACGTAATAATCAAAGCAATAGGTTATCTACACAGCTATACGTCGGCTACGTAATAATCTAAGCAATACGTTATCTATACAGCAATACGTTGGCTACGTAATAATCATGGCAATACGTCTACTACATACGGCGTATCGTACGTATTGCTGCATTGCTAACGTACTGCAACGATTACTACGTAATTAACGAATTTTTACGATTGTTACGTTGTCAACGTATTATTATGATTATTAACATATTTTTACCGTTGTTACGTAACAAGCATTTACGTATTTAAATTTTTTCAGTATTTGAAGTCTAGCTCAATTTGAAATAAAAAGTTTTATGAGATTAAACTAAAATTGTCAATGAAAATCCTATAAAGATGGGATTTCAAATAAATACAAGCCCTATTAGACCATTTCAACTCCATTAAAAAATGCCAATTTAGTATATAAAATACTCCAACTTAGATCAGTTTATTGTCGACTCTAATTTCACAGCTGAGCTGCACTCAAGCGTTCATTTCCATGCCGAGCACTCCAAAATATTTGATATATAAAACAATCAATCATTCTCTCAGTTAATATCTCACATATTTACACATCTCAACCTCATCGAAATTGAATTAGAATTTGTTCTCGATTTTGTTTGTGAGCAAAATCAAATTTAAGCTTCGGCTTCAAATATTTGTTCAGTGATGGCTGTAGGGTATTTCCTTTTCGACCAGCCTTGGAAATCTATTTCAAAATCAATTTAAATTTCTGTTCGAGCAAATGCAATTTATAATTTATAGCATTTACTATTTTGGGCTTTGGCTAAACATGAATATTTCACAGTTTCCGCATGCCACAAATTAAATATGAGTACATTGAAGTTGGCCAAGCGAAATGAAACGTGATAATTATTCTTTGGCTATAACGAAACTAGAGATGCGTCACATGGCAGAGCACATTTTCATTTCTCTAATATTTTCTTTCGTTTTTTTTTTTTTTTTTTTTTTTTGAGAAGTCTTACCACAAAAGAAACGCACATCACGTGGCGGCAATTCGATATGCGTACAAATTGAATTCTCTGACAGGTGTCTCCAGGGTAGACATCTGCCGACACAAAAAAAAAAAAAGAAAATGATTCACAGACATGCAAACATGATGTATGTATATATTTATTATATATATATATATATATATATATATATATACATATATAGACAGACAGAATTGATGCTCAATTAGCGAATTTTTTGTTATATTCCCATTTTGAGGCAAGCGGAAACGGAAGTGACAGCGGAAACGTTAACAACAAACCGTACATCAAATTAGCCCATAATTATGCTTTTAATATACGGCCCCAACCAGAACCGATCCCAGTCCAAGTCGTAAACCATACCCAAGTCCAATCAAGTACACCCACGCACGTGCCATGCCTCACGTCCGCTCTTTTCCTATCTCCCCCCACTGTCTTTGTCTCTCTCTCTCTCTCTCTTTCTGACAGCATTACAATTGCGCATACGCCGCGTGGGTCAGCGCTGCAAATGCAAATTGAATTGCAATTATTGTTGATTGGGCGCACACACATACCCGCACACACACTCACACACTCAGCTGCTGTGTGCATGCATGTGTGCATGTGCACATTTAATTTACCATCGCACACTTTTGCAACAGAGCATCGCTTTAACAGTTCTTTGAGCCTCGCTCTCGTAATATCCGTAATTGCAATGCCAAACTCAAATCGTGCGTGCCTTTTTGTTCCCCGTTCTACCTCTGCCCCCCACACTCCATCCAATCCTATCTCTGTCAGTGCCTGACCTGAATGCGTTTGCATTCGATTATCCAGCCAGCACTTGCCCTAAATATGTGCTCAAATTGCACATTAATTTGCAGCTCTGCGATAATCCCGCTCAATAAATAACACAAAGCAAACATCGTGCGCTTTACGCCCACATTATTTTTGTTGAACAATTAGAAAAGGTGAAAAGCTAAGCTCTGTTTATTTACGAACTGTTTGTTAGACTCACACCTGCTCAGAATTGAATGTTTGTATTATGACGAAACGGAATTCATAGATTTGTGGACGATATACAGTTATAGTTTAGTTGTTGTTACCAAAGAAGAGTATATTAGTTTTATTGAATGTCAGTGCTGCATTCTGTCGATTTGTATCATAATGTGCCAGCCTATGTAATATACATCGAAGAATGTGGGAGTTCTAAAAGACTTAATATGTATTTAATAGCCATATTCCCATTCATTAGGTATTCCAGACTATTTCCTAAGTCTTACAGGATACTAAGGAATCATTTCAGTCTGACTATTTTGTTTATTTTTTGAGTTAGATAGTAATATTTCACTATTTTTACGTTCTCTCTCTTTCTCTCTCTCTCTCACTCTTTCTCTCTCTCTATCTGTATTTCTTTTTCCCCTTTAGAAACGCCGCTATGGCTGCTGCTTCAGGTGGCGCCCATACGCAACGAGAGGGATTTGGTTGTGTTATTTCTGTTGACATTTCGGGATATAACGGCACTGAAGCAGCCCATCGACAGCGAGGATACCAAAGGTGGTAAGTAATGATCTAGCCCAACACGTCTTGTGCCCACCCACCACTAACCCATTTCCCCCCTATCTGCCTACCCACTCTATGTATGTGTATATATATATATATATTGCACCCGAGCATACTGCCAGACACGAATTCCACTTGCAAATTGAAATCATATTCACGAATTGGTTATACACTTCACTCGACACACACATACTCGTACTCGCTCCACCCTCACCCCCCCTCCTCACTCTTTGTCGCGCATGTATTCTTTGTTACAATAGTCAGCGCTCTCTCGCTCTCTCCTTTTATCTCTCTCTCTCTATACATATATCCTTCTCTCTTCTCTCCGTCTCTTTCTATCTATCGAACTATAAAACCAAACTGTACATCACTCTACTGTTTTACTCTCTTTTTCTCTTTTGTCTCTGTTTCTCCCACATATACCCCGATATCCAATAAACTGCACAACACGCACACACGCTTACGCATTGTATATATATATACTGAACCGATATAACCAATACAATACAATATATGTATATAAATAATAATGTTTGTATATATTTTTCAACAATTGCTTCTCTTCTTTTCTTTATCGCTTTATCGACTTGTCGATTTATCGCCCGTCTTTTGGTATATTTTGCCACTTCTTTTCGTTCTCTTTTTATATATATGTATATATATCTTTCTCTTTCTCGTTTTCTCTACTCGTTTCTTTGTTGTCTTGGTTGTGGCCTGTTCGTGTCTGTCCATATCGTAGCAGTTAATCTATTCCTTCCAGTTTTAGGTCTCTCCAAATTCGCCAAACTGGCGCGATCCGTGACGCGCAGCCGCCAGTTCAGCGCGCATTTGCCAACCCTCAAGGATCCAACGAAGCAGTCGAATCTGGCGCACGTGAGTACCAAACGAACTCAAAAGCATATATGTATATAATATATATCGATATATATCGATCTGATCTGCGGCAGATGATGTCACTGAGTGCGGACATTATGCCCCAGTACAGACAGGAAGCGCCCAAGACACCGCCACACATACTCTTGCATTATTGTGCATTTAAAGCAATTTGGGACTGGGTGATATTGTGTTTAACATTTTATACCGCCATCATGGTAAGTCAATCCACAGTACAACATCTAGTATCTATAGAATAGGTAGCCCATGTACCCCAAATCAAAATATACCCTGCTTAAGAAACTACTTTAACCCCCGCATGTACCCTACCCTATAACCACCCATAAACCCTTGTTTATAGTTTACCGTTATCTTACCCTATAGACCCCCATAGAACCTACTTCTGAGCTTACCCAACCTTCCACGTGCACTACTTTATACACTCTTCTGTTTTCGACTCTATCCCTTTTCTGTGCTGTACCCCAAATCCTACCACATACCTTACCCTACACTCTACTCCACAGTATACCCTATATTCTCTATAATAAACTAGGAAACTGTTTATGGTAGCTCAATAATTATAACATACTGCAAGCAATTCTTTAACGGAGCCAAAGTACTCCAAGAATACCCTGCAAATCCCTTTCTCTGTTTATGAACGCCCATTTTCATCTCAGCTAGTCGCAGCTGACTCATTTGTTTTTCGGGCACGGTGCTATTGGTCTAGCTAGTTAGGTGTAACCACTCCCACTCACCACATGCCACACGCCACACGCTACATGGCACATGCCTCAAATCCAGGCGGCTGTTGTTTCCTCGCTGTCTACTCAAATTGTGCCTATTTCCGTCAACAAGATGTTAACATTTTCACTTAAATTGCGCTCAGCCAACTTGACTCGCACACACACGAACATATATGCCCCGCCCGCACACACGTAGTGACATACATGTGTGCGTACCGAGAGCTCAGCAGCCTCCAGAGAGTTGGGGTCGAAAGTTGCTTTGTTGCTCTTTTAGTTTGTAATTTGTTGCTTTTGCGTTTGCAATCGCTCTTACATTGCTTTTACGCCCTACACGATGAAGAGAGAAGGGATATCGAAAAGTTATTTGCATGTATGTGACAGGTGCCAAGAAGACATTTCGCACGCTCCTTCAATTACACGAAGTCGATAATAATCGATTTTCATTGGGGAAAGCAAGCGGTTTATCTGAAAGCTCTACGTGGAGAAGGCTATATACAAATATATAAGAAGAATATAAAATGTTGTCAAGTTGCTAATTTACTTTGATTGGCAGTCTTGACTAAACTAAGTTCGATAAATATCGCTTAATGTATTTTAATCGGAATCACTATAATAAATTTAAGATATTTAAGCCAGAATGAGTATCCGCGCTGGAACTCCTAGCCGTCTACAGGGCATCTACTGGCCGAGCGCACTCAACGCACTTACAATTCTGTTTTGTTATTATTTAATGCAATTTGGCTGCGTCGAATTTGGTCGCTGTTTCCAACTTTAGCATCAACTGCGGCTTCCCAGCTCGTCTTAGCCCTCGACAGCACAATGCCCCAAAAACAACTTTTAAGCCAAGCAAACTGAGGCAGGCAGCCGAGACGACGTTTGTGATACATTCAAAATGTGGACTTAGCCAAAGTTGCCTCAGACAGCAACCGACTGAGTGGGTTTTAGTTTCTCAGACTGAGCTTAAGATTGTTAAGACTTTAACGCCTGTCAAAACATGCATATAAGAAAATATTGTTAGAGCTGAAAGTGCCACGAAGTAAATACATAATTCAGTGCATTTAAAAGCAATTCAGTGCGCTGGCTTTAAGGCTACAATAATAATGTGATTAGGCATGCATAGAGTTGGGGATGAAAGGATTGGAGAGCCCTAGATCGCTAGTTGCTATATCTTTGCAGCCACAAGTCTTTCGTTCAAGTCCTCTACAAAGCTAATTGAACAAAAAAACATTCCAAGAAAAATATCCTTCAACCTTGCTCACAGAGCAAACCCCAACAGATATCACTTTCACCTCTTCACGAAGGGCATCAAAGGGATAAAGCGAATAAAATTACAGTAAATATTTAAATGTTTGTATCATTCGTACGGCCATCCACCGAATTGGCCTCGTTGGGGCACTTCTTCGACACTTGTTGCTGGGCACATGGCCAGCCTATTAGGGGAGCGTGGTCGTTCAATGGGAGGGGGGGGATTGCATTAAGTGTTCTTTACCCATTCGCCAGATAAAAGCGAGCACAAGTCAAGAAATCAGATAAAAGTCTCGTCTCTCTGACACTTACACAGTCCTGCTACAAGTGCAGAGACATTTACATGACCAAGTGCCTAGTCGGAGGTGGGCGGCAGAGCCTAAGCTCTGAGGTCCGACGGGGTTGCCCCTATGTCTACGTCTATGTTTGCGTTTACGTCTACGTCGGCGTCTGTCTGCCATACGGCGTGTATATGCTTTATGTGCTTAAATTAATATTCTCCGAGGGTTGGAGATGGCGGAGAACTACCAGGGTAAGAGGCTTGTAACATGCCACTTGACATCTTGACGCTGGTTAGATGGGGGGTGGGGGGAGGTGAGTGGCACGTAACAACGTTAAGGATTACAGATAACACAATGGCAACCAGCTGTTGGCCCAACTGTTGCACAGACAACAATAATAACTAAGCCGCTTAAAATTGCCCAGTGATTGGCATAGGACCCGCTTACACAGGAAAACTCCCCCTATTTATGGCTACGAATTGTCCGTTTGTCGGTGACTTTGGCTAATTGAGTTTGTGGCCTTGCAGGTGCCATATAATGTAGCGTTTAAAAATAAAACCTCAGAGGATGTTTCCCTTCTCGTTGTGGACTCGATAGTGGATGTTATCTTCTTTATAGATATTGGTAAGTTGTCGCTTGGGGTAAAGCAAAGCTTATTTTTGATCTCATGGCTTCACTCATTCGCAGTGTTAAATTTTCACACCACTTTTGTGGGCCCCGGCGGTGAGGTGGTCAGCGATCCGAAGGTCATACGCATGAACTATCTGAAGTCGTGGTTCATCATCGATCTGCTCAGTTGTCTGCCCTACGATGTCTTCAATGCCTTCGATCGCGACGAGGACGGCATCGGCTCGCTCTTCAGCGCCCTCAAGGTGGTGCGCCTGCTGCGCCTGGGCCGTGTGGTGCGCAAGCTAGATCGCTATCTGGAATATGGTGCGGCCATGCTGATACTCCTGTTGTGCTTCTACATGCTGGTCGCCCACTGGCTGGCCTGCATCTGGTATTCGATTGGACGCAGCGACGCGGACAATGGGGTAAGCCATCAGGCCGTCAAGAGCTTTTGCCCGTTTCTTTGCCTATACTCTAGCTCCTTGCTTCAGATTCAATACAGCTGGCTATGGAAGCTAGCGAACGTGACTCAGTCACCGTATTCGTATATTTGGAGCAATGATACGGGCCCCGAGCTCGTCAACGGTCCCTCCAGAAAGAGCATGTATGTGACGGCCCTGTACTTTACAATGACCTGCATGACTTCGGTAAGTCTTTGTGGGTGTTGCCAGCAAAATGGAAGACCATCCTCTACCGTTTGGCCATGTTTGTGATTAATCCTCAAACTGTTTGCTCTCCTTTTTCACAGGTGGGATTCGGCAATGTCGCAGCGGAGACAGACAACGAGAAGGTGTTCACCATCTGCATGATGATCATTGCAGGTGCTGTGTCCAAACACGTTCCGTTGCCGCGTCAAAGTTTCTATAAAATAAAATAACAAAACCAAAAAAAAAAAAAAAATTACACCCGCTACTCCCACGCAACGCTTTTGAATATACTGTCATTGCAAAAGCTAGAGTCAATTAGAGCGCCGCTAGAACTAATAACTGCCGGAATTGGTGTAGACCAAACAAAGCCATCTCAGCTCATTCAGACCTTGCCATCTCTCATCTATGGTAGTGCCTCTCTGTACACCTCTACCATAACTCTCAGCTCCCTCGACCTTCACTCAACACCAACGATGCAAATTGTCGATTGTTAATACCTGATCTATTTCTTTCGTATAATCAATAATAAAACTAATATAACACGACTAGTTGCACAATTCGTCGCCATGTGTGAGTTTTTGTTAATCTATAAAGATATTTACAATTTTGTGAGTTGTTAATGGCATCAGTTACCATTCTTGTGATTCGTCCCATTTCATTGTTTTCCCCCATGTATAGAGACGCACAGCTGAAGCATATTGCGCATACGCACCGTCGAACCATTAAACAGGGCCTGGCCCTCAACAGCCAAGCCCCTGGTGCGCCTGTGTAATGTTTATAAGTTGTGTCTCTCCATGCCTTACTTTTCCTCCCCCCCTCTCTCGCTCTATCTCTGTCTGTCTCCCTCTATCTCTTTCAATGCCCAACTTTGTATGTCGCTCGTCCAATTCTTCGCATTTATTACCGTTCTAGCTGCGCGCTTGCGCGTTTCATCATCAGCGTGTAGAGAAACTCTCTGTAATTTCTACATCTTAGCAACTGTGCTCAACTCGTTGGCATTTTGTACTCGTACTTGTACTTGTTGCTCCATCATAGACAAAATACACTCACACTCATACACACTCACACACACAGACTCACACTGTATGTGAATGCAACGAGTCTTGTTTCTTTTCAATGCCGAATATCTTTCTATCTCTCTTTCTCTCTCTCCCTCTCTCTGGGCCTGCTCTCATAAAACACTGTAGCTCTGCTGTACGCGACCATCTTTGGTCATGTGACGACGATAATACAGCAAATGACATCGGCCACCGCCAAGTACCATGACATGCTCAACAACGTGCGCGAGTTTATGAAGCTGCACGAGGTGCCCAAGGCGCTCAGTGAACGCGTTATGGACTATGTCGTCTCCACGTGGGCCATGACCAAAGGCCTCGATACCGAAAAGGTAAGTGCGGTCTAGCATTGACACCTGCCACCCAGCCATCCCCCCTGTATCTGTGCTGTCTTAAAAATAAAAAATAAAAAATAAAATAATAATAAGGACCTCGTGTACTGAACTAAGAAGTATGTTTAGAATGAGACGAGTAGTTCGCTGTATGATGGTAGAGTCTACGTAGTGTTTCAGCTTATGCATTTTACGAGCTTGTAGAACTTTGCGATCCTACATACACCAAGCATTATAAGAATCCATCAAAACATCATTTTGCTGCTACATTAGCTAATCATAATATTCTCAGCTAGAAAAATGCTCACTGAATATTGCTTATAACAGTCATCAATGTACAGATCGTCAAATATATTTTGATGTCTTCCATCCTCTGCAATCTCTTAAATGACAAAACTTTACTACTAGGGCTATTCAGTTATTGCTATTTAGTTGTCATTTATTTTTTGGTATTACTTTTCTTAGTGCTACACTTAAATGCAGGCACAACGAGTGTTTAACTCGCCACTCGTTACATTGTAAGTCCCATTTAGAATTCTGAACTTGATAACGAGTAACGAGCTTACTTGCCAAGCCCCTTGCAAGTCACTGTAGCTAGTTCTTAATCTCGTCTTAGGACTGATTGCAAGGAGTTAACGTTCTCTTCTGAATTACTTTATTTCAATATTCAGTAGATTGACAGAATTATTCTATAGCAGATGCGTACATATGCACTTCGTTATCAGGCTCACTCGTTACTTGCTGCATACAGTTACTCAGTAGCTATACAATATAGATATGCAACGAGTAAGATTTGTTGTTTCCCGAAGTAGTATTTTCATTTAATTCTCAGACTATTTGGAATAATACTAAGAGTATTTTTTATGAAAGTTACTCGTTGCTCGTTAGCTACAACTAGTCAATTAGAATGGGCCAACTTGATTGCCTGCAATTCAACATATATTCGAATATCTTCAATTATTTTAATTATCAGCATTAAAATAATAGATTTTTAATTTCCTTTCCCACTTTTAACATTTATTGTTTCAATGAGAATGGCCATTAATGTCTCAGGCTTATCTACACATATATCTCAGTGCTTATCAACATATTTGTCTGCTCTATCGCTGCCCACATAACTCACTCGCTGCTCTCGCTAACAAGTGCATAGTGTGGCCCTGGCCCTGGCCCAGGCCCAGGCCCTGGCTCTGGCTCTGGCCTGGCTCACAGTTGCTGTAGTTAAGGTCCAAGGCTTGCCACAAGCACACGCACTCGCACACAGCACACGGCTCACAGCACAAAGACAGACAGACACACATCCACACACCAACTCAGACACAAACACATACATACACACACACACAAACACACACACACATATGCAAATACAGAAATTTACAGCAAAGTTCTTCACATTTCTCAAGTACTTTCGAAATGAAAATGGTAAAACTGCTTAGCCATTGCCATTTGCTCGCTGCTCGCTGCTGTTTGCTTTGTTTTTGCAGTTATTTTCAAATCGCTTCTCGCATCCACAGCAAACGCTCCAAGCAAAACATTAGAACTTAAATCAAACGCTTTCCCAAACAATAACAAGAAATAGAAGAAAACTGGGCGACAAGACTGAAATATGCCATTGGCACGTTTTCATTTTGTTGCCAACTTAGAGGTAGTTAAGAATTTTCACAAAAACGACGCAAACAAAGTTTAAATTTAAGTGAATCAAGAGCTGTGTGAATCAAAAAATGGTACAAAAGAAAAAAAGAGAAGAAGAAGAAAAAGAAGCACATTGCTAAAGGGTAAAGGTACAGATCCGACTAGAGGTCCAGCCACAGCCACAGCTACAGGTCCAAGTCCAAGTCGAGGTCAAGGTCAAGGTCGAGGTCGAGGTAAGCTTTCTCTCTCCTTCACTCTCTGTGTGTACCACTCTTTCTCTCTCTGTTTCTCTCTCTCTATATATTTTTTTTTCTATCTTTCTCTGTGTATCTCTGGCATTTCAGTCAGACCCCTCTAACACTAAAAAAAAAAAAAAAAAACATGTATTAAAAAATCAAAATTCTATTCTCTGTTTTTTATCATTCGATGCGCGTGAGCTAAATCCGTGCCAAAACGAAAAGCGTCCGTCAAATTCATGCCTTTAGATGAACTTAAACCAAACGCCATTAAATATTTAAATGTTTGGTTTAAATGAAAATAGAGTAAAATATTTAATTTTTACATCAACAATTCATAAATTGCCCACGCCAAGGCCGAAGCAAAGCAACTGACCTTTATACCTATTTCGTTGACTGTAGTTTGTGCCGCAATTCGAGAAAACAATTTTCAATGAAAACCAAGAACAACAACACAAACATGAAAAACGTGAAAAATCGGCCAAAGCCGAACTCTGAAATAACCTTGCAGACGTAGTATTAGAAATGATAGCGGTTCCATTTGGTGTCCCAATCTAAACTTGATTAAACTACTTGATCTGAGTCCGATATTGACAGAACTACCAATGTATGATACAGCTGCTTAACATATTCGATAACGATATTCGAATGCAAAGACTCCAGCTCTAATCGTAATCAGTTAATCTCTGAACTCTCAGTTGAATAGACTGCTAGTCCAACTCTGCAGAGGCAATCCGATTCCAAATTCGACTCAGTTGGGATAATACGCGTCTGTAAAGGTCTTAAGCCACTTGGAGGTCTGTTAACTAACAGAAACACCAATCCACACACACACACACTCAACCAATTTCCACCCACACATACATACATGTATATATAGATATATACATATATATATACATATACACCTATATATATGTATATGTATATATGTATATACATATACGTAGATATAAACACTACACAGGATAACCAGACGAAAACACACACACACAGGTCTTTTGTACACTGTTCAATGTTGTATATGTGTATTAGTGTATGTGTGCGTGTGTGACTCTCTCTCTCTCTCTCTCTCTCGCTCTCTGTCTCTCTCTGTGTGTGTCTCTTGTTCTCTCTGTCTATTGTGTATTACTTAATCAATCAATCATCCAGAGCCCGCAGGCAAATGTCCGTACGTGTCCATAAGCTAGCACTCACCTTATTGGGTGGTAAAGCACAAGTAAACTGTTCCACAATCCCAAAGAGAATTTCCCGCCTTTCCTGAAGCCCCAAACCAAGTAGGGTTTTGCGATCCCCCAGTACGGCGGGATTGCGGGTTAGCGTGTGAATATATCTTGAGTAGCAGAGCACACAACGCAACTGGCAACTCATTCACAATTCGCAGGTACTAAACTATTGTCCGAAAGATATGAAGGCTGACATATGTGTTCATCTAAATCGCAAAGTATTTAACGAGCATCCAGCATTTCGTCTGGCCTCGGATGGTTGTCTGCGCGCATTAGCGATGCACTTCATGATGTCCCACTCGGCGCCCGGGGATCTCCTCTATCATACCGGCGAGAGTATCGATAGCCTCTGCTTTATTGTGACTGGCAGTCTGGAGGTAATACAGGACGATGAAGTTGTGGCAATATTGGGTATGTAAAAACAATTCTCAACCGCTATGTATAACAAATCAAGAAACAATTTACGATAATTATCCCATCCAAGGCAAAGGCGACGTCTTCGGCGATCAATTCTGGAAGGACTCGGCCGTTGGCCAGAGTGCCGCCAATGTGCGTGCACTGACCTATTGTGATTTGCATGCCATCAAACGTGATAAATTGCTCGAAGTCCTCGATTTCTATTCGGCATTTGCGAATAGCTTTGCACGCAATCTGGTGCTCACCTACAATCTCAGACATCGACTGATTTTTCGCAAGGTGGCCGATGTGAAGCGCGAAAAAGAATTGGCCGAACGGCGTAAGAACGAGCCGCAATTGCCCCAGAATCAGGATCATCTCGTGCGCAAAATATTCTCCAAATTCCGGCGTACACCCCAGGTTCAGGCGGGCAGCAAGGAACTGGTCGGCTCCGGTCAAAGCGATGTCGAGAAGGGCGACGGCGAGGTTGAACGCACCAAGGTTAGTTTGTAAATTACCCTAATTTTCCCATGCGTTTCGTGTTCTGTTTCCGTTGTTTTCCGTGCAATGCTTTTGTGTGTGTTTTGTGTTCTACTGTCAACGTTACCGTTAATCCTATTTAGTTACTAATTTTTGTTTCCCTATTTAATGAGAGCTCGCTCAAAACATAAGCCAAGGAATAGAGCGCATTATATCACAGCTACTCCTTGTGAGTTTGTTCCTCTGTCTCTCTCTCTCTCTCTCTCCCTCTGTCTTGTGGCGCTTTTTGTGTGTAGCCTCCTCTGATTGAGCTTCGATGCGATCTATGCATTTCATGTTTTAGCTCGACATCGAATTTCGATCGTTTTTCGATTATTATCCATTTCATTTTTGTTTCATTCTTATTCTATTTTATTAACTTAGTATAAATCCATTAAATGTGTCTTTTAATTTTAGTGCGCATTTATATTTGTGTGTTTGTGTATATCTGCCACATTTGTTATTAACCGAGTAATTGAACTAACGTTATATTTTTTATCGAAGCATTATCGTTACTAATCCACTCACAGCTACAGCTCAGCCACAGCCACAGCTCAGGTTTGTTGGGCCATGTGGCCAAGCTGGCACCGTTAAGCGTTTACCGTTACCGTTACCGTTTACCGTTTACCGTTAACCTGTTAAACTGTTAACCGTTAACCATTTACAAATATCGTATTACTGTTATATCAAATGCATACAATTGACTTATGCTCGTCGTATATCTTTCTTTATCTTCCATTAACATGCTTACGCTCTTACTGACAACATAAACTGCATAACTGTGTCTCTCTCTCTCTCGTCCATCATCTTTCTCTCTCTTTCTCACACGCATAAATACGCTCGATCCATTCACTTACCTAATCTCACATTCACGCTTGTTTTCAATATCTCGGAACTCTCCACTTCCACAAATACTGCTTTCACACTCTTTTACCATATAAAAATATCTCCCTCTCTCTTTGTTTTTATTTCTGTCTCTATTTATACCGTTGTTGTGAAACTGTTGTTTTGTTATGCTGCCTCGAATTGTATAAAATTTATTGAACATTGGCTGAATTGATACAAAATATTACTAACGAAAAATTGTAAATTATTTTCCCTCCCTCCCACCTCTACTTTAACCTTCACACTTAAACATGAAAACGTTTTGCAACACTGAAAACTCACAAAATTGAAACACTTTCAAAACAACACTCTAATTTTTGCCTTGCCTGAATTTTCCCTCCACTGTAATCTCTATATTTATCCGATTCCGCTTCCTCCCCTCCACAACAACACGAAACACAACACACTCTCTTCTTTTCCGTTCTCTTTTCTCTCTCTTTTTCTCCCTATCTCTCTCTCTCTCTCTCCCACGCTCTCTCTTTAAATAACTGCTGTCTTGTGCTCGCCAAAAACTTCCAATTGCTCGTTTACAAATACAAACCGAACAACAAACCCAAAATCTATGAACCTATCCAAGAAGCTACCCGCTAAACTAACATTAACCGAGGACTCACGCATATTAACAACCGCCGCTGTACCCTCACCATCGCCATCACCCTCGCCCTCATCGGGTCCACCATCTGCACGTAGTACCCGTGCTAGCAAATGGGGACGCCTTCTGGGCAGTTCAAGTGTCGATTCAGCTAGCGATACGAGCGCCAAGGTAGCCGTCTCGAGAAGTTTGAGCGCCCGCGAAAGTCTGCGTGAGAGCACTGCCCAAGCGAGGCAGAGTAGTACTTCGAGTAGCAATGGTGGACAAGGCAATAAAGTAATTACCGTTAACAATACGAATACGAATACGAATGCGATACAAAACAATAATCAGCAACAACAACATTAACAACAACAACAACAAACAAACCAATCAGAATTAACAAATATTACAAATTTTTGAATAGCAAAAACCAATACAAGAAACTCGTCAAAGCGTTACGCGAAACGATTTCTATTTGAGATATTCTTGTACCGATTTTTGCCACACAATTTTTATTGAACATATCGTTTAGCAGTGATTTTTAATGCTCACCTATTTTCGTTTTGTTCTTTCTTCTCGATGCCAACTCTTCGCCATTTTGCTTTCATTTCGTTTATTCGATTGGTTGTCGACTTTTACGTTCGGTAATCAAAATCAAAACCATTAAACTAAAACTAAAACAATTAATAAAGCATTTACAATTAAGCAAAGTAAGTTTTTACTGATCATTAGTCATTTGATTGCTAGCAGAATAAGTCAATTACACATTTAGTTGCTTTACTCACCATAGCCATAGCAAAACAAAACACACCACGTTTATCGCTATCGATAGCCAATTATCGATACCTGCACTGTACACATGTACAATAAAGCAGTCAGCACAGCGACACATTTGAATAAATGCACCTTCGAGTTAGGCGCCAGCTGGATGCCTTTGCTAGCCGACACAACACGATTTAGAAACGAGCACGACAAAATATTGCAATTTCGTCGGGAATGTCTGCAAATTATTTCGCTAAATGTATTTAATTATAATTTTTTATTTATTTTTAAATTACGAACTTGTATGGCTTTCGGAATTTCGACTTTTTCATTCGCAATTCATTCAATTATTATCCACTTAGTTTGTAGGTGCTTCACAGTAGCACGCTCGAGACTTTAGGCTCGACAACGTGTTGATGTCGTGCCGTGACACGACTTGTGCCCAACTCTAGTGCCGATCGCAGCCATGCGATGTTCTCTACCGATTTGCATGTGGCTATCGATATTATGCTCGTGCCAGCAATGCGTCGCCGTACTGCCTGTGCCACCTCTAGTTAATATTATTTTTGTCTAGCGCGCTGCTATGCTCCCGCACACGTATGCACACACACACACAAATCTATATAGTGCGTGTGTGTGTGTGTGCGTGCATACGTGTGCATATGCACTGAACACGATAGCATATTCGAGTTTCTTGCGACCTAATATCGATTGATATGTTTCTATTTTTCGTTTATTTCTCACCGAATGTTTGCAAATGAAATGATACAAAAACTACGCCTATAAACAAAAAACATTGCTTGCCTTGCTACTACAAACAACCACAACAACAACAACAATAACAACATCGATAACATCGATCTGAATTCGATATTTGAATTGGACGCTGAACACAAATTTGCGCGCCATTTGCAAATCGAACAAACACAAACTCCAATTGGAATCGCACGCTTAACACCCTTGAACAACCTTTGCAATGAACAACAACAACAATAATCACCACCACAACAACCATCACCAATGAATGAATGCCAACAACAAATCCAAACTGATGCAACTTAACCAAACATAACTGTAAATCCACTTTTCTCATTCTCTCCTATCTCCTTGAACTAAAACTAAAACTGAAACCAAACGAATGAAAACCCAACCCGCTCGCTCGCTATTAATTGTCATCGATCGAACTGTCACCACCTTCAAATCTATCCACCTGTCAACCTGTCAACCTGTCAACCTGTCAACCTGTCAATCTGTCCAACTGTCAACCTCTGCATCTTCCGCTATGCATCCATTCAATACGTCACCCTGCAGGTATTCCCCAAGGCGCCCAAGCTGCAGGCTAGCCAGGCGACGCTCGCTCGTCAGGACACCATCGACGAGGGCGGCGAGGTGGACTCGTCGCCACCCAGCCGGGACAGTCGTGTGGTCATCGATGGCGGTGCAGCCGCCACAGCCACGTCCACAGCAGCAGCCACCGCAGCGGGTGCCGCTGGAGCAGGCGGCAGTGCCAGCGGCACGACAGGTGCTCCAACAGCGGCGACTGGCGTCAAGGAGCGTAATTTAGCGCTGGAGCGGGAGCGACAGATCGAGATGGCCAGCTCGAGGGCAACCACATCGGATACGTACGATACGGGGCTGCGGGAGACACCGCCCACGCTGGCACAGCGCGATCTCATTGCCACCGTGCTGGACATGAAGGTGGATGTGCGGCTGGAGCTCCAGCGCATGCAGCAGCGCATCGGCCGCATCGAGGATCTGCTGGGTGAGCTGGTCAAGAGGCTGGCACCTCAAATGGATAGCAGCGGTCAAACGACACCTGGCGACGAGATCTGTGCGGGTTGCGGCGCGGGCGGCGGCCCCTCAGCAGCGGTAGCTGCACCAACAACCGCTACGGTCACCACGCCCGTGGACACTGTGATAACCATCTCATCGCCTACAGCCGCTGGCGCGGGCACATCGACATCAGCAATAGCAACAGGAACAGCAACAGGAATAGGAACAGCATCGGCGAGCGCTGGCGCTGGCAGCGGTCTACTAAATCCAAGCGTCCAAGTTGTGTCTGGCGCGGGAGGCAACGGCCTGGGGCCGCTGATGCTCAAAAAGCGACGCTCAAAGAGCAGGAAAGCACCGGCGCCTCCTAAGCAGACACACGCCGTGACGGCCACAACGCTGACGGGTGCGACTGTTGCAACTGTAACTGTTGGATCTGGTACGACGAGCGTGACAGCGTCAGCGTCTGCATCTGCGTCTGCCTCTGCGGCATCGTCATCGGCAGCCGCAACAGCAGGAGCAGGAGCAGGAGCAGGAGCAGCAACGAGTCCATCGGCCGCTGCCGAGCTGCTGCATTTGCGTCTGCTCGAGGAGGACTTCAGTGCCGCTCAGCTGACGGCGTCAAGTGTCGCTGGCACGCCCACAGCATCGGCGGGCACACCACCCACTGGTGCAGCGACGCCAACGACCACAGCAACAAGCGCAACAACAACGCCAACGGGAAGCGGACGGAGCGTGAAACGCGAGTTCCTCTAGCCAAAAATACTGGAGCGCCATCTGTCGGCGGATAGCAGCAGCTTCGAGCAATAATACTCGACAAATTCAGAGTTTGCCTACGCATACGCTTAGCTAGTCCGTAGTCCGTAGATATGCATAATAGGAACTATGTATGCCTAATTACTTATATGATGTATGACTATATATGTATACATGATGTACATGAAGGTATAACTAATTGTAGATACACCTACACTCACTCTTTCTCTCTCTATCTGTATGTCCCTCTCTCTTTCTCTCTCTCTATGTCTAACGATATCTAACTGTCTTTGTACCCGAACTCTGGCGCTTAAAGCAACAGCTCTTTCTCTCGCTCTCTCTCTCTCTCTTTCTCCCTCTCTTTTGCCCCTCACACTCTCTTTTTCTCTTTCTCTCTCTCGCTCTCTGTCTTTGCTAACACACTTTTATCGTGTGCACTTATTGCTCTATCTATCTATCTCTATCTCTCTCTCTCCCCGGCAACATTTGCTAGCGGTACAAATTTTGAAAGCACTCTCTGATGTATCTGATATAATATGATGTACGATGGAGCTCAATCATGTGATGCTCGCTTAGGAATATTAATTAGGGCATTAAGCATAAAGCATATTGCTTACGAATTTGCTACATTTACTGCAATTATTTACCTTTATATACAAACAATATTATAGATCAGATCAGAGCCGAACTAAATAGCTATACTACACTTACAAACGTACAGACACACACACACACACATACACCCACACATACATATGCATATACACCTACATAGATATACATACATATGTGTGTGTGTATACATGATGTAAATTAATATTTTTGTGATAAAAGCTAAAGCAGGCAAGCAGCAAATAATGCCAGTGAATTGTACATACAAGTAGGATGTGCTTAGGAAAAGCCCATAGGTAAAAACAAAAATTAAAAAAATTAAAAACAAAAAAAACAGAAGAACCGAAACAAGAAAATTTATAGTTACTTAGAGCCGATCCCAGCAGAATTGAGCATTAGTTTGAAATATGGATATGGATCATAAATTCAATTTTTAATCAGTAAACTTTGCTTTTCTATATGTTAATCATGGTAACGCATCTCTATGTAGATAAATATTCCAACCTAGTTTCACTCCTAGAAAACCTTCTGTTGCCTACTTTTAGGAGGACAAAGAAATCAAAATATATATAGCCAATGACTGCTTCAGATAGAAATGCATTATTAACGCAGGCAAGCTATAGATATCGAAAGGAATACAGCCTTAGCCTGCGATCCTTTCAGCTAGCCCTAGGAATCAGCTATTCAGAAGTTTCGCAATTCTGCTGGGCGTACATTTTCGAGATGCCCATTGCAGTCAGAGCCCAAGCTAGATTCGGCTTGGTGCCCAGTCGTGTGTATTTCATGATACCCGTCCTATGTATGTATATACGCCTATACCTAATAAGGGGTATACCTAATAAGGGGTACGTAAGTAAACACAATTAGCAGCAAACACTAACTATACGAAAGATCCCAGCCACAACAAACAGAGACGACAACACACAAAAACGAAAAGACAATCGACAACAACAAAGAAACAAACCAAAAATAGAAATTGTTAAAAACAAAAAGCAGAAGATATTACAAAAAAAAAAATAAATAAATAAAAACATTTGTATAAGCATATTTATACAGAAAAAAAGAAGAACAAAACAATGTAAATAACAAATAAAAATATATTTCATGCTGCGATGCTTTAAATTAGTAAAAAAAAAATATATATATATATATATTTCTTTATGTAAATATTTAAATTAAATAACTTGAAAAGAGTAAATCAATTTAAGGCAGGCAAATATTAAGAGCTACGTTTAAATACTGCAAATGTTAATTAATATTCCAATTGTTTGACACATTCACACTCACACTCATACTCACACTTACTAACATTTTCTCACACACATTTGCAAAATACATACTTTGTGATAAAGCGGAAAAAGAAATACTAAAATTAATTATTAAATACATTTATAATATTTGTTCGTCATGCAACACGACAAAAGGCTTGCCTATAGTTTATAAAATATTCAAATGTTGAAATATTGCAAATTGTTAAAGCCCTCGTTAAGCCCCAGTTAAAGGGGCAAGCTTAAAGATATAACACTTTTGTTCATGTTCTGTTTTGGCATGTGTCCAGACACAAAAAGGTTTCATAACATTTAAGTCGCTTAAGTCGCGAATTATTTTCCACTTGAAGGATTCAGATTCAGATGCGCTAAGTTCTTAGTTTGCTTTTACTAGTTTCTAGCTGTAGAGGCTTTACCACCACAACACACACGACCCCCTCAAGACACATAAAGCAATACGAACTATTGTCTTCCCGGAAACGAACTCGACGCGCTCGGAACTGTAGAGAGTTGTTACTTAGTTAGTTTTACTTAGTTATATTTAGTCTGGCCTAGAGAATCCCACAACAACAACAATTTCCAATGACATAGAGCAAGTGTTCCCCAGATTCAGATTCGACCAACAACCACAAAAAAAAATAAGACAAGACAAGATGAAGAAAAGAAGCAACCGAAAAGCAATTCAAGTGGTATTACAAATTGATATTTAATTACGATAGTGTTTGTAAATACGGCATAGTTTTCAATTTTACGGAATGATATATACACATACATATACATGTATATCCATTCGAACATTTTGATAGTTAAGATACAGAAAATGTTTACCAAAACTTTGTTGTTGTATATGTTTAGAACAATTCCAGAAAACCAACCAAAGTATATGTGCATATATCTATATATGTATATGTATATACATGGATGTTAACTAGCGACGGGCTCAGTGTACATAGTCTAGTGTAGCTGTTAAGGGTTATAGAGTTACATAGTATACATACATATAGGACTTTTTTTTCTTAGTAGCTACACGAAATTCAAAACAATTATGAGTATATAGAAAAATCCACACGGTTTAGCTTAGGGCGCACTAGTCAGATGGAACGACTCAACTAGCTATAATAAGGCATTCATTACAAATTAGTTTACACAATATGTTAGATACCAGGAGATACGACGATAGAGTTTTGGACAGAGTACTTACCTACATACATATAGAGCATAGATCTAATGACTAGCGGTACTAGTTAACTGTATAACAGTTTCCTTTTCCTTTTCCTTATTCATTCTTTTTTATTTTTGAGAGAATTTATTGATTTACTTTTCTTTACATAAAATGGAGAAAAAATACTTAAAATACCGAGAGAATAAACTTAAATTAAAATAATATTAACGAAAAAAATGAAATGGATCAACCATAAATAGCGTTGGCCTCACACGCTTTCGCTTCCAGCTCATAGCTCGCAGCGACAATATTTTAAAATACCAATTTAGTATTTATTTAGTTTGTCATAATGAGTGTTTTTTTTAGAAGTTTTTTATGCTAACTACACAGAGCCTTATACGTTTATGATAAACAACTAACCAAGAACACCTAATTTATTACCTATAAAAATATTTAAAAAAAAAAACAATAAAAAAAAAAAAAAAAAAAAAAAAAAAAGAACAAGCTGAATAAAAATCCCAAGCAAAATTAAGGTGCAATTACAATTTATAGAACACGCTAAATACGCGCGATATTTAGTCGAAATTTATATTAAAATGACAAAATTTATGAAACAAAGAGATATTTATATATACCTATATATACACCAGACCTTCGAGGAATTGTAAAACTCTCACACACTCGAAACAACTCAAAGTCAGGCTCACCCAACTAAATACTCATAAATACTAACTACTACCACGCAGGAAGAAGACGTATTACAAGCCTATTGATGAATTTATGCCAGAGATCAAATGTATATAGTACATCTAAACACTATATATACATGTTTACACATAGAGATAGCTGCTTCAACTGCTTAGAAGCGCCAAACTGAAAATAATACAAGCAAACAAACAAAAATATATACATATATAGATATTAAGCCGCATACAAAAAACAGTTTAAAGCTTACACAGATAAACCCTAGATAAACCCGAAAAACAAAAACAAATTAACAAGCTTTTATACGCCAGAATTTTTTTCTAAGCGAAAATCTTCAATAACAAAAATTACCACGAAATAATACAAGATATTAACATGAAATACCAACTGACAAATACTAATAATTAATAAATTAAAAACAAAACAAAAAGCAAATGCCACTTAATTAATTGTTAATTATGTACACAAAAACAAAATCAATTGTAATTAAATTATACAATTATATACACACTCATATATGTATGTATATATACATATATTTATATAATACCAAAGCCTTAAACACTTGGAGAGATACTAAAATATATACCAAACTCATGCCTAATTTTTTTTTTTTATGAAACCTAAACATTTTCTGGCAAGCAAACCAAAACCGAAAAAGTAATTATGAAAATGGTAATATACCAAAAATACAAAATAAATACTATGCGTAATGTGCTAGAGACTAGTCTCTAGTCTCTACACGAAAAAGAACCAAAATTTTACAAAAACAACTATATAAAACCAATAAAGCAAACGTTAAACAATTTCCACCAATTTGATGAGCATAATTCAGATATATGTATACAATATACAATATGAATAATGCATAGAAACAAAAAAAATTATTTGGAATACGCGCCCTTTTTTATTTTCAACATGATAAAGCTGCCTATTTATATATTTACAAAATAATGAATTATAAAAAATTAAAAAAAAAACAAAAATTACAAAAAATACATTCAAAAATAGTTTATATATATACCAGATACTGAGTTTGTTTTTGGTTCATTTATGCTCGAAAAATTTAGAGACTACATATTTAGGTAGTATATCCAAAAAAAAAAAAAATAATAAATAAAAATAAAAAAAAGCGCTTGGACAAAAAAAAGCTGAACTTATGAACAACTGATAAAATAAAACAAATACACAAAAAAAAAAAAAAAAAAAAAATAAATGCTTATAATATAACTCTAAAAAAAAAAAAAAAAAAAAAAAACATTAAAGAATAGTTATAAAATTTATTTGAGAAAATCAATTAATTAATGATGTAATTAATGTGTATAGTAAATTAATTATTATGACATTTGCATTGATATTACCACACACACCTACACACCCATGTTAATAAATCTTTGACTATGTTGAGCAAGCATAAAAATTTACAACAAAAATACCCACAAAAATACTGCTCGTATGAATTCATTATGAGAAATACTTAAAAAATAAAAAAAATAAAACAAGAAATTAAGAAATACATCTAACACAGCAAGAAACAAAAACAAATACGCAAAACAAGGTCAAAAATTATAATTAAAAAAAAAGAGGAAAGGAGAAAGAATACAAAAAAACAGAGCAAACAAATAATACATACATGTTTTTAAAAACAAAATGTTTCTTATTTTGGAAATATGGGTCTAGAAGTGGGGAAGGAAGATACCCATTCAGCCAAAAGCATGGTTATTTGGTTTGGGAGAAGCCAAAGATTTCATCTAAACGTTTGTATATGTTCTCCTGAACAAGGTTTCGACCGACGTCTATGCCTTACATATATTTTTCATTCAGTTCAGTATTAAGGTATTAAGGATTCAAGTATATATTGTTAAATGTAAGGGAAAATATGGTTGGCAAAAGCTAATAATTATATTGAGGACTTGTATGCTGATTTACAAATAAAAAGAGTTTCATTTCGGATCAATAGCCACGTGATAGAGAGAGATTTATCTACGTAGATAGAGATCCGATACGGTAGATCGGAAATCAAATTAAAAAAGGTGTATTTTTTTAATGATTCTAATTTTTTTCCAGCACCCAAACCCAAACTTTTTTATGACTAATTGTGAAATTAAATTTCTTAATGTGGAAATTAATTTGATTTGTTGTTCGCATTTCAAATTATGATAAAGGGAAAGCTCTGTAGCATGGAAATATTTGGCGAGTCCGGCGAGAATTTAAAGAAATTCTTTTAGGCAATTTGGAAAATGTTACCGACACGAATTGTCAACTTCTAGAATATTTCAGATATGAATTACGAATGCAAACAACAAATACTGCAATAGCTATTACGAGCCCCCTTATAATTCGTATTAATGTATAAGACGGTAATGAATCTCAATCAGCAAAAATATTAAATAAAAAATTTTATGTTGAAATAAAAAGAAAAAGTTTTTAAAAGATTTTGTTGCGTTTTGTTTCCCCTTTAAACTTTTTTTCTGGTAAAAACATTGTACCCAGGGATCTTCGATTCGAATTTCAATAAAAGACCAAAATGTGTTCCATTGAGTTATATAATTGCATTATTTGTATTTAATTACATTTGCTTATCTTTCTGTTCCTTTCTTTCTTCACATTTATAATAAATTTGATCTTGTTAGTTATTACAATAATTTGTTCATCTCATTCGCATTAAATTTGTTTACATTCTGATAAATAATATACGTGAGTCTGTGAATTTCATTGAAAACAAAAAAATAATAATGTGCAAACGCCTAAGAATTTCTCTCAGTGTATGCGCTTTGTATGTTTTCTTTTTTCCTCCAATTTTCCATTCGATCAATTCCAATTACCACAAACAATTCATTT